TGTACACAAGACTTATTTATTCGCGTATAATACGCACTCATGTGTTATATGCACCCTTAAATATGGGCATTTAATTCTGGAAAAATATATCTGTCTTACATAAACATTTCAGGCTGTTAGCATAAACAACAAAATTTATCTTTCAACTCTGGTTTTTTCACCAAAATAATTTTCAAACAAGAGCCCCCTATTTCTAATTTTGAGAGCGCCCTGGACGCTTATTACGTCGATTACGGTAGTTAAGGTATCACATTTGCTATACCGTTCATTATGAAGGACTTGTGGACTAAAACTGTTAGTTTCTATTGCTGTATTATAATAATTACCTGTATATGATTAAGATATTATCATCCTCATGTGTTTCTGTATCATACAAACTATATATCATATATTATTAGAAACTTTACAGTATGTACCGTAATACACTTGGAAAAAGGCTTGCAAATATATTATTTTTATTCCTCATATCTGATGTTTACTATATGTAAACACACTCGGCTTATAATCTGTGTACATACAAACCATTTAACAAGCCTTTGGTATGGCTGTGTATATTGTGTATTTCATCGCTTTGAATAGGAAGGGGACACACTTAGAGATTTTCTTAAACTGTGGTAGCTCGGCAAAATAAAGTCATGTGATGGGTGTATTGTAGTCAACATGGTTGTGAGATGTGCAAGATGGAAATCGAATAATACCATATTCGACGTAATATGCGCACTGCTCTAATAAGCGCCCACGGCGATATTTGCTAATATATGGGCTAGTGAACAATCCCAATTAGCACCTCTTCCGATTGATCAATGTACACAAGACTTATTTATTCGCGAATAATGCACACTCGTCTGTTATATGCAGCCTTAATTATGGGCAATTAAATTCTGGAAAAATATTTCTGTTGTACATAAACATTTCAGGCTGTCATAAACCATGAAATTTATCTTTCAACTCTGTTTTTTTTACCAAAATAATATTCAAATAAGAGCTCCCTGTTCCTAATTTTGGCTCTGGGCGCTTATTATATCGAATACAGTAGTATATTCTGACCTAAGAACTAATATCCCTGTCACTCCCAGTATGCAGTAATTTCAGACTATTTGATAAAAATGTAAGCAATAGGAAGTCCCATGGGGTCTCACCACAGGGGGTTGGCGGACGTGGTGGCGTGGCTTCCTCCACTCACATAACCCACATTTCAGGCCATGGCTGAAGTTGTATGGAGATGTTTGGACAGGTTAGTGTTCAGCTGACTGGTCAACATGATCAACACAGTTCTCGATAACTATAAACACAAGAGGATCTGCAGGCCCACGACATGTGGGGCGTATAGTTGAGTGATTTTCTTTTTGATGGTGGTGTCAGGTGGATAGCCCTGTGGATAAGGGTTTGCTTGTCGGGTTCATGAACCAGGTTCAATTCAAAACCATAAAATTAAACATGAGGGAATATATGCTGGACGTTTTGTGATGTATGGTTGAGCAGTCTGTGCCAGAAACTTTGTGTCAAACAGCCCATTTTATTTTAAGTAGACTCTAGTGTTATTATAGGGGCAGTGAGGTAGCCTAGTGGTTTAAGCCTTCACTAGTCACGACGAAGACCTGGGTTCGATCCCCACATGGGTACAATGTGTGAAGCCCATTTCTTGTGGCCCCCACTGTGATATTGCTGGAATGTTGCTAAAAGCAGCTCAAAGCCGTACTCCATAATGTTACTGTATGGATTATTATTAGCTGAGCTTTCCAGACAGACTTTACTACTAGACTCTGGGACCCATGAAGATCCGGAGTAGAATAGGTCACCCATGCTATGCTTGCCGTAACAGGCAACTATGCCAGCTTGTAGTAAGAGGCGACTAACAGGATCGGGTGGTCAGGTTTGCTGACTTGGTTGATGCATGTCATCACATCCTAATTTCGTGGATCGATGCTCATGGTTCCAATCACTGGATTGTCTGGTCCAGACTTGATTATTTACAGACCGCCGTCATATAGCTGGAATAATGGTGAGTGTGGCGTTAAACAAACAAACAAACTAGACTCGAGCTGAAGACTAGTGACTGAAGTGGTCATTTTGTCAAATATTTAAGTTATCAGGGCAGGTAGAATTTTGGGCTTTTTAGGGAGCACCTTTATATATAATCACTGTCAGGGCTTGTAAATGTTTAGAGTTAAATTTCATATATGAAAATGATCATATCAACAAATCTGAAATAAAATGTGTCTGGTATTCCACTAATAATGTCTTGCTAAAATGTTTGAATGTTTCAATATTGTGTTTTAATACAATAATTAAGCAAAATCTGTAATATGAAACCAAGATGAAGATTCTTTATTCCTGCTATGACAACAGTTATTTTATTTTGTTTTTTGAAAATCCCAGGAACAATGATGCATTGGGTATTGTTAACTGAATCCCCGGTAGAGCAAAGATCAAACTTATGTCACAATGACTAGTTCAGATTTACAATCACGGTGATGTATGACAGAGTTTCTGCTCTATTGACTTCAGGGAGATTGAAAGTAGTTAAATTTTTCCAGTTTTGAACTGAAAAGAGGTGGGGGATATTATCCACACATGCTATTGTATCCAAGAAGTACCCCGACTATATGGAATACACAAAGAAAAGCATCAAATTATCAATGTGAATAACATGTGATGTCAGTAAATATGTCAGCTTAAAATAATGTGTGTCACATTGCAACGTTTTGAAGTTGGCTGGATGTTGGTTGGTTGGTTGTTTAACACTGCACTCAGCAATATTCCAGCTATATGATTGTGGCCTGTAAATAATCCAGTGATTGATAGCATGAACATCGATCCACGCCATTGGGATCGATGTCATGCATCAACCAAGTCAGCGAGCCTGACCACCCGATCCCGTTAGTCGCCTCTTACAACAAGTATAGTCGCCTTTTACGGCAAGCATAGGTTGCTGAAGACCTATTCTATCCCGGAATCTTCAAGGGTCACAATTTGAAGCACCGTACTACACTTACCACACTCACTTTATTTGGTCATTCTATAAAAGATCAGAATGAAGCTGTTATGATATTGTGAAAAATAAAAAAGGAAGAAATATTTTTGTATTGATGTATTAACACCTTCAATTTAGTTTAAATATGGTTCTGTATGACAGTCAGCAATTTTAACCGTAAGCCACAGGAATAGCCATGATAACATTAAATACCGTATTCGATGTATGAAGCGCCCCACTCTAATAAGCACCCACGGCGATATTTGCTAACATATTGGCTAGTGAACAATCCCAATTAGCACCCCTTCCGATTGATCAATGTGCACAAGACTTATTTATTCGCGTATAATACGCACTCGTGTGTTATATGCACCCTTAATTATGGGCAATTAAATTCTGGAAAAATATATCTGTTGTACATAAACATTTCATATAAACCACGGAATTTATCCTTTAACTCTGTTTCACCAAAATAATATTCTAATAAGAGCCCACTATTTCTAATTTTGAAAGCGCCCTGGGTGCTTATTACGGTATGTCCTCATTTCAGTCATATATTCATAATGCCTGTTGGCCAGCCTGTGTTAGATGTAGGTTTTCTATATCACTGCTTATATGGTGATATTCCGAATCAGCTGATTGATGATGAAGTTAAAACCCAACGTGGTGAAGGCTATGATGTGAATAAATATCAGCTGATCTCTTACCAATATACCCATAAATAGAGGATGTTATATGAGTGTTCATGTCATTCAGGAAATACCAGAATTTAGACACGAGTGTCGTAAACATAATGTGACATGAACACGAATATTATGTTCTATTTATTACGGAAGAAGATCTCTACATACAGAGACAAATTTTAGTGTTGCAAGTCGCAACAGCGACGGAACCACAATTTGCCGAATGACGTCATTCCGACCTCACGTCACAATAAGATTCAAATGACGTCAACAATGCCGTCCGGAAGACGAAAACAATATCCTGTTGAACAGCGGTAGAAACTAACATTTTTAGTCCACTAGTCCTTATAATGATAACAAATAGCAAAACACTTAAAAATGTCATATTTATACTAGTCCTTATGATACCTTAACTAATGGGCAGTTTGGCAAGGACTACAGGACTACTGCCATTGTCCAACACTGCTGTTGTTTCCTGACAATATATGACCCTGGGGCACATATGATTTTTATGAACCCAGATATGTTTGCCCTCGTAGGTAATAAATAACAAATATGCAACATGTTGGTGGATTAAGCAAGAACTATGTCCACGTATACCAGATAAACACTTCAACAATCAAACCAAACATGCACCAGATAATGTTGATGTCCACAGATATATAAATAAATTACGAGCCAGAGCATTTGATTGATTAACCAAGCTATTTATTTCGCAATAATGTTGCCATAAACCAATAAAAATAATTAGGCCATACCCTCTGGTGGTTGACCGTTTCCTAATCAGCTGAATCTGATAATAAAACGGCTACGGTTGCATTATTGTGCTGAACGATGTCGTACTGTTGTCTACAGTTGTTAATGATTAACGAAGCCTGTGAAATTATTATTCTTGCATATATTTATAAGAAATGACAAGTATGCTTTTGCATAAAATATATTGAAGTCTATTCTTGATTGAACATGTTGCAATGTACAAGGATTTCATAATTATTTTAACTTCAGCCAGCTTTTCCCAGACCCGTGAAGATTCCGGGGTAGAATAGGTCTTCAGCAACCCATGCTTGCCGTAAAGGGTGACTAAGCTTGTCGTAAAAGGCGACTAACGGGATCGGGTCGTCAGGCTCACTGACTTGGTTGATGCATGTCATCGATCCCAATTGCGTGGATCAATGGTCATGATATTAATCACTGGATTGTCTGGTCCAGACTGGATTATTTACAGACCGCAATCATATAGCTGGAATATTGCTGAGTGCGGCGTTAAACAACAAACCAACCAACCAACCAACCAACCAACCAGCTTTTCCCAGCTTATGGTAGATAATGCCTGTATATTTCAGAGGAGCTCAATACCTTGCGACAGTTTAATCAGTGTACTTTGATGGTATGGGTGTGTGGAGTGCTGCTAGCCGCGCCAGCTCTCATCTTCTTGTATTACCCAAGTCTAGTGCGTTCCAAAGTTAACTATCTCAATATCAAGGTTTGTATACTGCATGAACTTATTTTCATCTCTGGTGTTTGAGTCTTTTTGGTGTTATTTTTTCAATTAGTATTTTCATAACAGGATTTTTAAATCTGCATGTTTGATTTTCTCCTGTGTTTTTTACATTAGGCCACAACAGCATAGGTCTGTAAGGCCACAATAAATTAATTAGATCTTCGTCAAATGGTGGAGGCAGTTTATTTTTTTATATTTTGTTTTTTTATTAAACTGTTCAAAGTGTCTCTGAGATGATGGAGGCAGACTGTTTGGTGAGTTAGTGAATGAGTTGATATCTAACGTCACATCGGCAATATTTCAGCAATATCGTGATGAGACAAAATTTGACATTGATAACATATATTTAAACTGTATAAAATTCTGTCGCCAAAGGACAGGCTGTTTGATGGGGAGGCAGGCAGGGATGAAAACCCGGATGATAAATTTATTCTGGCTTAACAGTTCTCTGAAATACATTATTGAAACTCTTGACATCATGATACAGAAGTGAGACCATGTATCAATACCATGAGTTCCGTTTGTCGCTAGAGTACAGGGTACTGTTATACGAAACAACCTTAGCACTACGACGGTCATAAGTCTATGTCAAGGTATGGGAGTGACGATCACCTGAGTGCTAAGATCACTTTGTACAATGCCACCTAGGGCCTGTTCCACAAAGCAATCTTAGCGCTAAGTCGATCGTAACTGCCATTCTTTAACATGACCAAAGACAATCATAGCGCTAAGTTGATCGTAACTACCATTCTTTAACATAGGCCAAAGACAATCATAGCGCTAAGTCGATCGTAACTACCATTCTTTAACATAGGCCAAAGACAATCGTAGCGCTTAGATCGCTTTGTGGAATGGATCCGAGGATGTTAGTAGGTGAATGGTCTTGTATGCTGTGTCAGAACGTTGAGGGGTGTACCGGGTACAGTAATATTCAGCTTGTTGAATCCCTTACACCCCTAGTGACACACGGAATGGATTTATCATTACCAGTACTTGTTCACAAGTACAGGAACTTTATTTGGTGAAATATGTCTGTGTGCAAATATTGGATCAACCTACACCTGGACTGTTTGATGTTGACAAGGTCAGTCAGGACATGATAAACAGATGGAACTCTATGACATCTTGATGTCCGTTCGATGTATGGGTTTCTACAAGATAGCCACTGGCCAGTCAGATAGGTGGATTTTAATAGGAGTAATGATCAGTGTCTGAAATAACTGCCTGCCCGCCTGCCCGTGGCTGGTGACTTTTCTATCGGGCTGCAGGAAATTTTCCGCCACCTGCCCGAATGTCTTGCAGATAAGTTTAAGCCTACTTACATATTCAGTTTTGTTTTAACTCCTTGTTGATTCTGAAGTAATTGTTTGCATTATTTCCACTGAATCAAGACGTGATTCGTCTTTTATTTTTCACGATTTTTCCGTATTTATGATCTCTGAATGTGGGCAGGTAACTTTCAAGATGGGCAGGCAACATTTATGGGTCACCTGCCCGATTGTCTTGTTGAGTTTTAAGATTATTTCAAACACTGGTAATGATAAATGTCATACATACAAGGGTTCCGGTTCAAGTATTGTATCACATATCCAACTGCGACCTTGCCAAAATGTATGGTTAAAGTACCATGACAAATTGATCACTGCCTTTACAGCTTCTGGTCGCATGTCAGTAAAGTTTGGTTTTGGATCCTATTAGTTTGAATTGTTTTTTACATTATTTTGTAGATGATACAATATATCTTATTGTATTTTCCCGTTTCTGCTGGCTTTCACTGCATCATTATATCAGTTTGTTGTAGCCATGTGCAGATGATGTGTGGATCTTGTTTCATAGTATTAATATTGATGTGAAAATTGATAGTGATTTTTTGGAGTCCTAAGCGACTGAATTAAGGTGATGTGTGGTATTGTTGAACTGTGGAGGTGTTTTCTTTGATTCATGGCAGGAGTGAGTGAGTGAGTGAGTGAGTATGGTTTTACACTGCTTCAGCAACGCAAAAAGGAGTCAGCTGTTGGGAGTTAAAGAACTCTTTGTGTGAATGTGGATTTTGATATGTTTGGGATAGGCAGTTTGTGGATCCACCATAGATATGTTTGGGATAGGCAGTTTGTGGATCCACCATTATTATTTAGCAAGGAATTTCATCAGAGATGTATTGATATAGATATCCAAACCTATTTTGAAACATGTTGTGTTTATGCAAGTCTAGATTTTTTCAGAAATATTAAGTCATATATTGTATTTGTCTTTTTATTGTACTACAGTTCCACACTTTGACTGTTTTGTAATCTGTGATTTGGTGCTGAAAACTATGGAGAGTATTATATGAATATTATTATGCTGGGTAGTTGTTTTGATTTCAGTGTATATGATTGTATTCTTGTATCTCATGCTTAATAGTATATAATTATGATAATAGAGTTATATTAATGTGTGTAGCATCATTTTGACTGATTTGAATATTGTGAGGTCAGCTGATGGAAGGAATGTGTGTTGTATGCTATAAACGCTGTAGTCATATTAATGATGATGTATATACATATCTCACCATCTCATTGTATTGACTTACCTCGTACCAGGCGCACCACTACACAACTTTATGGGAAGATCCGGGTAGAATAGGTCTTCAGCAACCCATGCTTGCCGGAAAAGACTATGCTTGTTGTAAGAGGCGACTCGCTGACTTGGTTGATGCATGTCATCGTATCCCAATTGCATCGATCAATGCTCATGATGTCAATCACTGGATTGTCTGGTCCAGACTCGATTATTGACAAACTGCCGTTTTATAGCTGGAATATTGCTGAGTGCGGCGTTACACAACAAACAAACACAATTTTATGTAGCGTGGCCCCTTTACAAAATAATGAACTCGAACTTGGTATAGGCCCCAAACTTGCTTGTTAAAGGCCACTAAATGGACCGGGGTTGTCAGGCTCTGTTAATGGGTTGATGCATGTCATTATATTCCAATTGTTTGGATTGATGCTCATGACATTTATCACTGGGTTGTCTGGACCACACTCGATTACTTACAGATTCCCGTCATATAGCTGGTATAATGCTGAATGCGGTGTTGAACAACAAACAAATAAATCTGGGACAAGCTAGTGAACTTAATATTTTTCCTAACCCTGCCATTTGCCATGTCTGGATTTGTAGACACAGTAATGAATACTGCATGCTTGGTGAAGGATCCATATGGCTCGAATCAACTGATTGCATGTTTTGTTGAGAATCATTCTATTTAATTAGTTTTGCTATGAATACCGGTACTTGTTGTCATAGTTGTTGAATATCTGTTACTGTATCTGCATGATGTTACAACTGTTAAACGTTCATCAAATAATCATGTGGCAGCCCTCTGAAGCCGTTGATACAGTGTGTGTTTGAGAGAATGTTTTGGTGTCAAATGTTTGCGATTGTGTTTTATCAGTCACCAGTCTGCCTGGCCTAGATTTATTTAAGTACAGGCCCTGTTGATATTGATGGAATATTGTGACTTGTGGAAAACTGCATTCACTAACATTTGTGATCTCTTGGGTGGGTTTTCTGATTGGAATAACTTTGGTTACGTGACAAATCTTAGGTCAAGGTCACCTGAAGGGAATCGTAAGTCAGTTGAAGTTTAATGTCGCTATCAGCATCGTTTTTTTGCCATATAATTTGTTTTGTAAGATGGTGAGAGGTGATGGTTGTTTTGTAAGATGGAGAGAGGTGTTGGTTGTTTTGTAAGATGGAGAGAGGTGATGGTTGTTTTGTAAGATGGAGAGGGGTGTTGGTTGTTTTGTAAAATGGTGAGAGGTGATGGTTGTTTTGTAAGATGGAGAGAGGTGATGGTTGTTTTGTAAGATGGAGAGAGGTGTTGGTTGTTTTGTAAACTGGTGAGAGGTCATGGTTGTTTTGTAAGATGGAGAGAGGTGTTGGTTGTTTTGTAAAATGGTGAGAGGTGTTGGTTGTTTTGTAAGATGGAGAGAGGTGTTGGTTGTTTTGTAAGATAGTGAGAGGTGATGGTTGTTTTGTAAGATGGAGAGAGGTGTTGATTGTTTTCAGAGATGTCAGAAAAAAAGGTCCCTGCCATGACCAATCTGCCCCTGGTACACTTTAAATATTAATTTCACCATTTCTATATATGCTATTACAGTAAAGGGCAAATGTAGGGAGGCATGAGCATGGATATAACAGCTAATTGACAGGAAAGAAAAGAATATTTCACCATCATTTAATAATGATAATTATCATATTTAATAATATTTCTTATTTTTCAGCTAACTGGGTTTCTAGGGGGCGGTGCCTCTCGGCAAAGTATAAGAATCCTAACTATGAGTATTCACTATAAAGCTCGCATTGAGACATATCCTCGGACAAAGGATGTCAAACGGTTCCCAGTTCCAGATGACAAGGTGCCATGGAGTGCCGAGTTTGCTGTCTATGAACCAGTAGACTACACATCTCCCAAAGTTTTGGAAAAACCAGTTTGGGCAGATCCTGATATTAGGTGAGTAGACATGGTTCCAATGTGCTGTTTGTTTGTTTGTTGTTTAACGCTGCACTCAGCAATATTCCAGCTATATGACGGCAGTTTGTAAATAATCGAGTCTGGACCAGAAAATCCACTCATTGACAACATGAGCATTGATCCAGGCAATTGGGATCAATGACATGTGCATCAACGAAGTCATCGAGCCAGACCACCCGAATTTAGTCTAGTTATAATTAAATATTTATATATATATTATATGATTTAGGTGATTTAGAGATAGGTGATCTGTTGTCTACTCACACAATGTCCTCCCTCCTGTATCGGAAGAGTGGGTAGCCTAGTGGTTACAGCGTTCGCTCATCACACCAAGGGTTGGGTTTGGTTCCTCACGTGGGTACAATGTATGAAACCCATTACTGTGTCCCCCACCTTGACATTGCAGGAATGTTGATGAAAGCAGCATTGAACCCAGCTCACTCACTCACTCACTCACTCACTCACTCACTCACTCACTCACTCACTCACTCACTCGCACCAACACCAACTCACCCACACACGCACCCACTCACTCACTCACTCACTCACTCACTCACTCACTCACTCACTCACTCCTATTTCAGACACTCCGATGCAGTTATACGGCCGCCCAAATGGAACAGTTTAGATGGAGTAATAAACAGGAGAAGCCATTTAGGAAATTACGAAGTTATAGACAAAGTTCCAAGGTGAGTGACATTTGCCATTTTTAAGGGTTTTGCTCTATGTTATCATTCAGATAATGCCATTCAGAAATTGGCACTAGTCCTGTAGTCCTTGCCAAACTACCCAATATAAAAGAAATTTGCCATTTTTAGGGGTTTTGCTATATGTTATCATTATCATGATTATAAGGACTAGTGGACTGAAACTGTTAGTTTCTACCGGTCATAACAAGGACTAGTGGACTAAAACTGTTAATTTCTACCGCTGATCGAGGTATTCTCAGAGTCAGACAGTATGCTTCAATCCTGCAGCAAATGTTGGCAAAGAATTCCAAATTGGGATTAAAGATACACAAATTCACATTCTAAAAATCTTAAGCTTATATTTTAAACCTTCATTTTTATTGCATTGAGTGCAATGTTGTATTCCTCTGAATATAAAAACTTAAAAAATTGCAATTTGGGACAATTCTTTGAACACAGTTCAGCATCCTAGATGTCGTTGTTCCTGCAGCCCCCTGTGTATTGTATATATGTCATTCAGGAACCCAGTGGGTCGCACAGGGCTCCGTGGGCGAGGCTGTCTCGGAAGATGGGGTCCAAATCATGCAGCAGATCCCATAGTAACAAGGTAATACATGCAGTTAGTTCAACCCACTGAGGGGGGCACGGGTGGCCCAGTCGTCTAAGGCGCCGCGATTCGCTGTGTAGAGTTGCGTCCCTTGGGCACGCCAGAAACTTATGATTGTGGGTTCGAATCCCGGTTCGCCCCAATTATGTTTTTAGGTTTGTCAGCACCATACCCATGCTCGTGGGTTTCACCGAAGTGGTAAACGTCTGAGACCTGCATCACTGCGGGCTTTCCTCCCACATTAAGCTGACACGCCGCGATATAACTGGAATACTGTTAAAAGCGGCGTTAAACCCAACTCACTCACTCACTCAACCCACTGAGGGCTCTATTCCATCCGCAGGATTTCTAGACTAGATCCTCGCTACCCAGGCTTGATGTAAAACGGGAACCCAGATGGATGGTTACAATGTGTGCCATCGTGAGTTGGAATTGGTCTTCAGCAACTCATGCTTGTTGTAAGAGGCGACTAACAGGATCAGGCGGTGATTTGGTTGCTGCATGGCATCATTAAACATGATAGTTATGTTCTTGTACAGTGCATGTATTGTCCACACTCAGCTGTGCTCTGGTTGCTGGTTCAACATGACCTGGTGTGAATACCTCTGATCTGAGGTATTAAGCAAAGTCAAAACTATTTCAAATGCTCATCACTGATCAAACTCTGGACCCAATTGAAATATTTCTGTGGCAAGGGTAAGCATGTTAAAGGTTTGTCTCTTTTTCAGATGGAAGAGGAATACAACAGGAGAAGTAGTTAAAGCTAAATCCGGGAGTCCTATCCTTCAGTTTATAGCAGTGCAGAGACAGGACAATAAGGAGTGGGCGTTGCCAGGGGTAGGTAGTAGACAATAAGGAATAAGGAGAGGACACTGCCAGGAATGTGTTGTAGACAATAAGGAGTTGGCGCTGCCAGGAATGTATTGTAGACAATAAGGAGTGGGCGCTGCCAGGAATGTGTTGTAGACAAAAACAAACAGTGTGAAACCTTGTTAAAAATGGCACTAAATTGGCAGTCGCACCAATTTTGATTGAAGTCATCCACTTTTGTTGTCAGCTATCTTAAATCTTACAATAGAGATCATTCAAACACTTGCAGCAAGAAAATATTTGACGGCAGCATATTGTTTACTATTTGTCGCCAAATATATGTCCTTTTTCTGATCAAAATAGTATGCAATGTGTACGACTGGTCTCATGTTTATGTAGCAGGGCGTGGAGTCATCCCACAGATGACATCCTTATCTTGTCAGCTTGCTGACGGGGTTAACCTCTTTGGTCATGTGGACAAGGCGTCCGACCTGTGATCAGAAGGTCCGTGGTTCGAATCCCATCACGGGACTCGAAAATTTTATGGCCGCTACATTGGCGCCCAACGTGGGGCTGAGCACGTTCATATTAAATTTGAGCAAAATAAGCCTCAGTACCCTACTATGCGGCCCGGGACGTGCCTTCTGTTGACGGGGGAGTATGTAGCAGGGCGTGGAGTCATCCCACAGATGACATCCATATCTTGTCAGCTTGCTGACGGGGTTAACCTCTTTGGTCATGTGGACAAGGCGTCCGACCTCTGATCAGAAGGTCCGTGGTTCGAATCCCATCACGGGACTCGGAAATTTTATGGCCGCTACATTTACAAAAAGGTTTGACTCCTCATGGCTTGTGTTGTTTTGTAAGGTCATGCATATTATAAGTTAATGAGGTTTCAATGTTGGAACAGACTTTTTGGGGGAGGTGGGATTACAGACTTTTTCCCAAAAAATTCAGGGTGTTAGGTCTTCAAAAAAAGAATATTCCATTTTCTTAATATAGTTTTTTATTTCCTCAAAATGTCAAGTGGCTAATGAAAAAAATGTTTTAAGGTACATTTTCAACAGGTTTCAATAATAGTATTTTAGATGATTTTCTAAGTTTGACAGCAGCAGTAAATCAACAGAATAAAAAATTTCACTGCTTTTCATTTTACTCACATTTTGGGAGTTGGCGGATCCGTAAACCAAATAAAAAAATAAAAATAAGTCTGGCCTTATTTGTAAGAAGATTATTCAAGAACATGTACAGAGGACACAAAAAATGAATCTTTGAACTTTTGTTGTGAAGACATGCTATTCCAATGCTTGGTTTGCAGGGTATGGTTGATGCAGGAGAGGTGGTGACTGTCACACTGAAGAGGGAGTTTGGGGAGGAGGCGTTGAACTCACTCATGGCAACAGATGATGACAAGAGACAAATTAGGCAGTCAATAAGCGATTTATTCGACCGAGGTGGAGCAGAGGTGAATAAACGGTCATGTCGCCTAGATTCAGTTTTAAATGATCACAATGGCTGGTCATTGCTAGTATTAAATTCCCCACAAATGGGTAGCTCATTCTTGATATCCCTTTCTATCTGGCTCAATGAGATCATGCTTTTATTCCGATGTGATACCTCATCAGGACGTTTCCACAGGAGGTTGTCAGCTGAACCCTGATGTCAGCTTTCTAGTGGAAATTTAACAAATACAGTCAAGTCCTGTTAATCTGACATAGTTGGTTGCATATGATTATGGCGAAATTAAGTAGTATCAACATTTGTGATCGAAAATTGGACATCTTCACGATAGGTAACGATACAAACACGTTATATAAAATGAAGCGTATGATTAATCCTATTTTCATTATTTAAAGCATTTATTGTTTATTGTTAAGCAAGTTTATCTCTGCAACCGTTGTAATATGCAGCTTCCAGCTGACTTGTCTCGCATCAAAACGGGGACTGTGTACTCGCGGGCAGACGACCACGGAGTATGCTGATCAACGAGACTGATTAATGAGTGATTTCGGTAATTTGTTGCAAATTAGCTGTGTTGGAGTCGGATAGCGAGACTGTCAGGTTAACGGGTCTAAATAGCACTGATTTAATCGGTTCTCATCATTAGTGTCGGATAAAGCTGATTGTTGGATTAATGAGTGTCAGATTAACAAGACTTGACTGTATACACCTTTTGGTGTTAATGCCATGACCTTCAATATCGATGGGATGTACAAAATATCCACAACCATGGAACAGTGTGACTCTATTTGTTTGCATTCAAAACTTCCTGATATATTTATTTTCGAGATACATAAATCAGATATTCTTGTCTGAATGCTCTGTTCACTCATACCGTACACTCATAGGTATTGTATCGGAGTAGAAGATCTGATTTCAATAAGACTTGACATAAGACTGTCTTGACATGATGTTGCTGGAAAATTGTTATAACTCAATGAGTAAGGGTAGGGTAGTCAAATAGTTACTTTCGATGTTCATCAAGCAAAAAGTCCTGTGTTTGAATCCAAGGTTGGAACCTGATTTTTGTGACGATTCTCTGTGCAGAGTTGCGTCCCTTGGGAAAACCACCATACCTGTGCCCTTTGGTTTCACCGACCTGGTAAACGTCTGAGACCTGCATCACTTCGGGCTTTCCTCCCATATTAAGCTAACACGCCGTGATATAACTGAAATACTGTTAAATGCGGCGTTATACCCAACTCACTCACTCACTTGTGATGACAGCATATATCAGCTATTTCCTCTACGTTACAGATTTACCGAGGTTACGTTGACGATCCTCGGAACACAGACAATTCATGGATGGAGACAATAGCAGTGAATTTACATGACGAAAGAGGAGAAAATGTTGCAAGATTTAAACTCAATGCAGGTGAGACATCTGTCTTGAGAGGTGTCCAGTCTAACTCCATCAAGTTGATCTTTCGTGGAAAAGCCATTTCCTTGAATTAGATTTGTCAGCAGTACTCTTGAGTTACTTCCCTTCCTAGACCGCCTCCGTGGCCTAGAGGGAGAGCGTCCGCCCGGAGAGCGGAAGGTCCGGGGTTCGATCCCTGGCCACGTCATACCAAAAGAAGTTAAAAATGGTACATGTACTTGTTGTTACCCTGTCTGGCGCTCGGCATTAAGGGGCTAAAACAAGGTCTGGTCGGCTCAGAGTCAGTATACTGTGTCTGAGAGGGGTGGTCATGTTAAACTGCGGCATGATATCTCAATGGGCTAGCACTATAAATCGGCATCAGTCCGGACTAGTACAAGCAGCCACACACACATACACGTACATGCACGTCGCCATATAAGTGCAATAATCTTGGACGCAACGTTAAACCCCATTTCACCTCACCTAACCTACTTCCCTTCCTCTCAGTTATTATTGAGTACTAAAAGAGTCAAGTGTTGTTTTGTCTGTTGTTTAATGCCTCACTCAGCAGTATTCCAGCTATATGACGACAGTCTGTAAATAATTGTGTCTGGGCCAGACAATCGAGGAACTGACATCATGAGCAACGACAATTGGGATGTGATGACATGCTTCAGCTAAGTCAGTGCACCTGACCACCCAATCCCGTTTGTTGCCTTAGGCCAAGCAAGAGAGTCAGGGTAAACTGACTCATGTACAAGGTTCTGACTCATAAAGATGGGTAATTTACAAAAAAATGTGTTCTGTTTATTATTTACTATTCAAAAGAAGTAAAAGAACTCACAATTTTTTCATATGACCATAGTGCATGATAGATTAACTATAGTCAGGGAAAAGAATTGTGTCCTTCTTAACTTCTTTTGAGTAGTATGTATGGCCTTAAAGATTATAGTAAGAGGATTAAGAAGGTTTTAGGAACACCTGGACCCTGTTCCACAAAGCTATCTTAGCACTAAGATGATCGTAGCTCACAAACATTAACATAGATTTTGCCACAATCATACTTTTAAGAATCGTAGCTCCCATACTACAATATAGACTTTCCACAATCATAGCGCTAAGACGATGGTAGTTCCCATTCTTTAACATAGACTTTCCACAATCTTAGCGCTCAGACAATCGTAGCTCCAATACTTCAACATAGACTTTCCACAATCGTACTGCTTAGATCGCTTTGTGGATGGGACCCAGAAATTGTCTGAAAGTTTGGATGTCAATCTTATAATGTGTGATGCTGTTGATGTTGCAGGTGATGATGCTGTAGGAGTTCAGTGGATGGATGTGGATCATTCGTTACAGCTGTATGCCAGCCATAGGGACTTCATACAGAAAACTGCTGAGAAACTGCAAGCCAGCTGGTGAAAGACGCATCAATATCAACACCTTACTGATATCAACGCCCCTCCTCACACAGACTCATCCTAGCTAGGTCCTGCATAGAAGCCGTTAGCTTGAAATGGACGATACAATGACTCATTAGCACCTTACAATGTTCGAAACTAGGGCTGAAAGTCGAGGGGTCCTTATCATAACCCTAAAGTTCAAATTTAAAAACTAAAGAGGTCACTGGATTCAAATACTGTAGCAGGAGACCACAAGAACCCCAGGACCCCTGAATTTTGAACACTGGTTTAGTCCTAGGACTAAGAATCATATCCTTCTGCACAAATCTGACTGCATTCCAATCTCATTAAAATCAGATCTTAGTTCTCGCTACCGCTAAACAAAGATCTGAGGACATCCCATTAGGGGTCACGTCAGAACGACTTTTCATCCGACCAATCAGAGCGTCGCTTTCCAGATCATGAAAGTGACAGTCGGAATGTGTTTTTTAATCATGCAGCCTCGAAAACACTAAAACGAGGTATTCCGAAGGATAGTTACGGGCTCAACGACTGAATCTATACAATCTAGACAATCTATTAGCCATTCTAGAACGTTCTTTTGTTCAGGTTTCAAATTTGTAATCGATAATTTGTCAAAATATGTTTCGAAGCGTAGTCGCCAATTTGAAATTAGTGCCGTAAAGCACGAGAAAGCTGCCTTCTGATTGGCTAATGTCGACTTCTTGTCAGTAATTCCATTGGTCGGTCAGAGTTTGCGAAAGGTCGGTCCGACGTGACCCGTAATGGGATGTCCTCAGATCTTTGTTTAGCAGCAGCGAGAACTAAGATCTGATTTTAATGAGATTGACTGCATTCCCGTGTTAGTTTGGACACAAGTCAGTGACATCATAACATAATTATCACAGAGAATAGTCTAATATCGTACCCATGTGTGTTGGATTGGTTAGGATTTGATTTTATAACTGCATCTGCATTGTTTATTGTTAGCATATGTAAAACATTTCCAGTAAAGATCAGTTGTCTTTCCATAGCAGTTCTGGGCCTTGTTACACCGATATCTTAGCACTAAGGTGATCATAAGACTATGTTGATGCACGGGCATTACAATCGTCTTGGCGATAAGATCACTTTGTAGAATGAGGTCCTTGTCTTGCCACAAAACTGATCGAGATATTAACAATAGTTATGATTTCTTGTGAGGGCTTCAAAGTTAATGGATTTGACACTTTGTGCTTACTAAGACAAAAGGAAATGGTTGGCCTGTGTTCAACCAATCTACCGGAAAAGGTGAGATCTGGTTCTTGTTGATTTCTGGTTTTGTTTGTAACGAAAATACAGGCGTACCAGCTAACCAAATATGAAATGTGTAGAGCAACACTGCTTCAAAGATGGCCTCACCGATTATGTTATTGTACCAGGCCCCGGTCCAAATGTTTGGAACTGGGTCTTGGAAGCAATAAAAAAGTGATTCATGGCATTAGCTCTGTTGGTGCTCTTTGTCAAAAATGATTCTGAGTTAAAGGTACTCGTCAACAAAAATCATTCTTACTTGATAAAAATACCTAATGGTACCATATATGGATATTGTTAATGTTTGTAGGCACGACTCCAAGTCCCTCGTAATTTGAAACACTGTAGAGGATAATGGTTTTAAACGAACAAGCAATCTCATGAGTGCTCTCCGCAGTGCAAAGACGCTCAGGAACATGCCCTCCATTGCACTTACTGACATTCTCTGTAGAAAATACTGTTGTGAGGAGCTTTGAGAAATCGGTGTACATCATGATTGGTAGGATGTATAAATGAAAGAGGGAGGAATGTTTAGTGTTTAAATTAAACACCCTTTCTGTAGAAAAAGTTCACAAGAAATTATGTAAATGAAATATTTAGAGCTATTAGGCAAATATTATCCTGCATCGGTGATATTTCCTTATACGGAAGCTAAATAAAAACAGTTTCACAATTTCAGTCACAGGAAGTATGGAGCTTGTTGATCATGATGAAAACCACACCTCCTTCGCCTAGAGAAGTCTCAGGGTATATCTGGCAGTGGAGTACTGCCCTAAATTGTTATCTCCGATATTAAAGACATAAGACATCAAAATTAAACAGATTCTCATCTTACATTCAACCTTCATCAGTAGCCATTAGTTCCGTGAAGAGTCTTGTCAGCTTTTGCTTTAAGCTGAATCAAACTGCATATTTGCATGGACCAAAGCTATCTCTTTGTATATTTCATTAAGACAACAGTCAATGTCCTTTGTTGAAATCTGACATCAGATACCTGTGGCAAAAAATTGCGAAAACAGGTTCACAGACGTTTCATAAAACTAAGGAACCGACCGGGGTGGGGCATGGGATTATGTATGGAGACTAGATATTTTTTCAAGTACAGCTGCAAAACCAGATACTGTTTTAGTTAAAACTATGAGCCTGAATAAAAAAAATTAAAACACCTTACGACAATGTAATTTTTGTGGCAGGCGATTTTTTATATTTTTTTCAACAGGCTGAAGCAAATTATTGTTTTCAAGCATTTTCTTGGACAGTTTATGTTTTTCGATAAAAGACCAAGATATCAAGTAGTCAGTTTCTAATACAGTTTCTCCTTTGTCGATGGTTGTTGTTTGTGCCTTAGATTCGCCTGGATGATTTGTTTATGCTGTGAAGGTCCTCGACTTCCATATTGACAGAATGATATTAGTCCGTATGCACCGACACTGGTGCTCCAAGTTTATACGACAGCTGCAGACCTGTTATATCCCAGTTTAATACGATGTATAATGTCCCGTGTTTGTTATAACAGTTCTACACTGACATGTACAATAGCTGTTGATTAGTGATAGTAACTTGAATCATTGTTCAGATTTTGCTGATAATTCCTCTCCGTCCTGATCGAGTACATGTAGTGTTGTATCAGCGTGTGCCTGTATCCCAGCCTTGTCACAGATAGGGATAGTTTATAATTTACTTTGTTAAAGCTCAGCAACGTTAAGAGCTAAAGCATTCACGATGTGCGTCACCTGCTTTGGGCTATTTTCAACTTAACTTTCAAATAGAGGTTCACATTTTTAAAGTATTCTACGTATTCGACGTAATAAGCGCCCAGGGCGCTCTCAAAATTAAAAATAGGGGGATCTAATTAGAATATTATTTTGGAGTTGAAAGATAAATTTTGTGGTTTATGCTGACAGCCTGGAATGTTTATGTACGACAGATATATTTTTCCAGAATTTAATTGCCTGTAATTAGGGTGCATATAACACACGAGTGCGTATCTTACCGTATAAATAAGTCTTGTGTACATAGATTAATCGGAAGAGGTGCTAATTGGGATTGTTCATTAACCAATATATTAGCAAATATGGCTAAGGGCGCTTATTAGGGCGGGGCGCTTATTACGTCGAATACGGTAATTTTGTTTTAATGTGTTTTGAAATCACTATCGATGACAGTGTTTGAAGAGGGATCCTTGACATGACTATGGTGTAAAAGTTAAGGTTTAGGATCCCTTTATTCAAATGCCATCAAAAACCTCAAAGGCCATGACCCCCTTATTTTCAAACACTGACTGGGAAACCAGTGAAAAATACGGAATTATGTTAGTTTGTTTGTTTGTTGTTTAACGCCGCACTCAGCAATATTCCAGCTGTATGACGGCGGTCTGTAAATAATCGAGTCTGGACCAGACAACCCAGTGATTGACATCATGAACATCAATCCACGCAATTGGGATATGATGACATGCATCAACCAAGTCAGCGAGCCTGACCACCCAATCCTGTTAGTCGCCTTTTACGACAAGCATAGTCGCCTTCTACAGCAAGCATTGGTTGCTGAAGACCTATTCGACCCTGGATGCTCACGGGTCGGAATTATGTTTGTAAGGAGGGGATATTGTTATGTTCTGCTTATAATTGTTTTTAATGTAATTAATTTCACGTCTCTGTGTATGTAATTCTTGATTACAAATGTTGGAAGCGTACGGTTCCTGAATGTCAGTGTTATCTGTCAAGTGTCCTGAACCATGTCAAATAGATGTTTCACTTGGTTCATTGTCATTGTGTTATTGTGTCACTATTGTTAGTATGCACACCTCGGTGTATGTAAAGTGCTAGTTTCTGTCATGGAATGAGAAATGTTATATTGCACATCCTTTCTGCATTCTAGGAACCATATTTAGGAGGATGACCTATATTCGGAGCTGTATGCCACTAGGATATTCAGTGTGATTATCTGTCGGTCTTCCTACGCATGTGGGTCAATACCTGAAACCCCAGGGGGGGTTCCAGAAGACAATAGATCCCTAGGGCTGTCCCACCAGGTACCCCATGGTTTTTGTACAAGGGGACTGTTATTGGCATAGATGGTTTAACATCGCTGCTCAGCATGAGGCCACCAGGGGAGACAACTCAAGTTTCCGATCCTTGGCCCATCAGAATCATATCCAGACTGTTTTACAAAGTAGTCAGTGTCTACGAGCTGCATCACTTTGGCCTTTCACCCACTTGACATACTGTTCAGTGCAGCTTTATGCTGATCAAACTCACTCCCTTTTCTCAAAGTTACAGATGTAATTTTCCAACTGCCCTCGCCTTCATTGTTCTACTGACTAGTGCCCCGATTATGTTTCTAGGTTTGTCAGCACCATACCTGTGCTTGTGGGTTTCACAGAAGTGGTAAACGTCCGAGACCTGCATCACTTTGGGCTTTCCTCCCACATAAAACTGACATGCCGCGATATAAGTGGAATACTGTTAAAAGCGGCGTTAAACCAAACTCACTCTACAGACTATAGACTGAGCCGTGGAGACAGATCTGCTGTCTCCTGTGTGACAGTAATCTGCCCTGAGATCTCCTGTTGGAGTGGCAGGGAGACATTAAAGTGATACTTAACCCCCTTTAGCTATGACAATCTCCCCCAAAGAAGAGAAGTATCTGTTTTGTGTTAGTTCCCAAGTTGGAATCGAGGCTCACTTTCCTCTTGTCTCAAACGAATTGTTCCAACAATGGACATAGCACACCCTTGTATTATAACACTAATAATCTCCTAGGACGGGTACCCTGTTCTTCCAAATCCAATATTAGTCATCAGTGTTTGAAATAAAAAGAATTGTCAGGCTACCATCAGGACCCACAGACTTTAGACGTTGCAGGCCCAGATCAACTTGTCATGCCCTCATTTAAAAAACTGCAGCTTATTGTGACAAATAAATCAACACATAAGTTTACTGCAGGCCAGCCATTAGGGCCCATACAAATTTAAAACTACTTCCCCGACACAAGATCTAACTACCACAGGCCTATGGGCAGGAGCTTATTTTGAACACTGTTTATCAGAGAAATTGCTTTCCAGATGAGTTTTGTAATGGCCTGTCTTTCATGGCATAAACTTTGTTTATCTAGATCATTGTTAATCTGGACAAAGAGAAGTACTTGGAACAGCCAGGTTTCACTATAACTCCAACATTAGACGATATCCATGACTATGGTGTATTGTTTATGCTTTGGCCCAGCTTACAACAGAGTGTTGTTTGAAACGTGCTGTTACTGTAGATATTTTATTTATCGTTTTTGTATATTATGAGCTTTAAGTACCTGTTGTATTGTGGACGGAAAGCTTTTTTACTTATTTATCTGAAATGCAAGTCACATGATCCTAGAAAGTG